GCTTCTGGAGCGATCTTTCCACTTCCTCTAGCGCCCTGAGATCTCTACCGGCCAGGTGCGAATGCATGACTTGAAATCGGAACCGAGAAGATCGCTCTGGAAGCTGGGAGTGTGAAATCACGGGGAGGACCCCGCCCACCTGCTGATTTCCCTCCCGTGTTAGAGCCGTTTTTCGCCGTTTTCGCGCTCTCCAAGTGCATTTTCGGATTCAGCGTAGCGAATAGGCCCGGGTAAGTAAAAAATCTCAAGGTCGATTTGCCCGGACACTGCCTTTAAATGCTAGTACTGCGAGACGAATTTGCAGAACATCATGGCGGCAAGCGACGTCTACTGTCATACATCTGCGCTTAGAGTCCTATCACCTTATTTTTAGCACATTCAACTGATCTGAGATGAAGAAACTTCTCAGGCCCGTACCAAGTATGTCTCAGCGGGGGCGGAAGAAGGGATCTGACAATGAGAGGGGACGTTCATTTCTCGCTACCCTGGATATGTTTCTTCTTTTTCGTATATCTGGCTTATATAGCTTCTTATACCCTAATGCCTGCACATAATCGATGCCCGGTCAGCCAAGCAAGATTAAATTTTCACAATTTTGTGTGATATTAGCAGGTCTCGGCACAGGTGGCTTACAAGCAAGCTGGACATCATTCTTGGGACAAAAAGCAAGGGGATTTCGTTTTTGTGGCCGAAAAGACACAAAATTTGCGACGTTTTTTTAGTCGACATTTCGTTTTTTGAAGAGTTTTTGGAGATTGTGGTCTAGGGTTTAAGGGGACTTCGTAAAAATTCGCAAAAGTCAAGAAGAACCTTGTTTTTTGCGTTTTCATCTAGCTACCTCGTGTCGAGCCCTGTCTTTTAGAGATCCCCAGTGTGTAAGAAGCTTTGTAACATAGACGGAAAAAGAAGAATGGAGATGTCTAGATTAGTAAAATATGACGCGTTCCCTCTCGGGTCCCCTCCCAAGCGGAATGTACGTGCTTACGGACCTAACAAGGGAAGGATCCCGTTTTGCACGATACTTGATCTCAGTGACGATTGGGTAAGCGGTGTATATCACGTATATCGTCCCCAGACGGTGATCTCTGAACCGCATTCCATATCTGCTACGACGTCAATCTGGAGGACTTATAAAGGATTTTTGTTGCAATGGATAGTGGCTTGGACTGCGGAGCTGGACGTGGTGGGTTCGATTCCCGTGGGATGCCACCCGTTTTGCATTTTTGTAAATTTTAGCAGGCAAGTCAAAACCTGTCTACATCAAAAAAAGCTGGTTTTCACAATATGAAGCAATACATTTGCATTTATGGCACTGAACCGCCGTCTAACGTAAAAACACTCGTTTTTAGCCATTTTCATTAAATAATTCACTCAATTTTACATTGAAAAATTCCGAATTCGTGCTTAATATGGAGAGGAGCACATTTGCTCATTTTGTGCTTTCTTATCATGTGCGTTCATGAAGGCCTTTCAATGTAAAATTGAGTAAAGTATTTAACGAAAAAGGCTAAAAACGAGTGTTTTTAGGTTAGACGGTGGTCCAGTGCCAATTAATGTAAATGTATTGCTTCATATTGTGAAAAGCAACTTTTTTTTATGTCGACAGGTTTTGCAACATGCCTGCTAAAATTTACAAAAATGCAAAAGGGTGGCATCTTAGAGGAATCGAACCCATGACGTCCAGCTCCGCAGTCCAAGCCACTATTCACTGCACCGAAAATCCTTTATAACTCCTCCGGAATGACATCATAGGAGATATGGAATGCGGTTTGCAGATCACCGTCTGGAGACGATATACGCGACATACACCGCTTACCCAATCGTCACTGCGATCAAGTATCCTTCCTTTGTAAGATGCAGCAATGAGACATCGTCAAATAGGCTCAAATCACACCACAGGCGCATCTTGGTACCAAGCTTTCATCGTTTACGTTTGATGAACGTCGCAGCCAGAAGAGTTAGATCACAATTCGACTTTTGGCCGGCGTTTGGGAAGTACGAGTGTGTGGTACAAGTCATGATGTCCTTAAATCTAAATTTGACGTTTGCACATCATCGTAAAGGTCAGTCGTTGGGTTACGCCAAGTACTATAGTACATGGCAACTGTTCTCTATGAGCTCTGAACCTGAGATTACACTGTCTAAAAAGCTTTAAAGACTTGCGAAAAGTTGAGTAGCGAAGTCAGCACGCTGAAAACACAGTACATAACTTTTCAGATGCTTTTGAATTTATTTTTGGATCTTATATATATAGAATGTCTGTTTGTATGTCTGTACGTATGTTCCCAATAGAAAATTCCATATCTGAACCGATCCCGACCGAGCTTGGCACACATACACTTCGGGGCCGGGCGGGCGCCAAAGGCTACTTTTCATCATCGATCGATGCCAAGTTTATCGATTTTATCGATTTCCCGTTCTTCTGTAGAGGCAACCGGACCTTACAAATTGGTTGTGAAGGCTGGCAAAAAACATCACATGAAGAGAGCAGTGGCGTACCCAGGATTTCGGCTCGGGGGGGGGGCGGCAAAAAATTTTTTCTAATGAAGGTTCGTGGCGTTAGCCACACTTCGAAAAAATGTTTGAGGTGCTTCCCAAACTTTTTGCGGGTCCCCGACCCCTAAAATCTGGAAAAAGGGGGCGTGGCTCACGCCACGCCCCCGAAAAAATTTTTTTTATAAAGCTAAAATGAATTTTTAAAAAATTTTAAAAATTATTTTAATTATTTACAAGTGCAGACAAGTCATTTGCACAATTTTATAACCCACTAGCTGGCTTACCCGGCTCCGCCGTATGTTCCGAATAGAAAATTCCATTTCTTAAACGATCCGGACCAAACTTGGCACACATACACCTCGGGCCCCGGCGGGTGTCACAGTCCACTTTTTGTTATCGATCGATGTCGATTTTATCGATTTTTTGCAAAATTTGAGCTAGGGGGCTGGAATTTGGCAGGGGGTGTAATCGAGCATGCTGATCACCCCCACGGGGGTGATCAGCATGCTCGATTACCCCCCTGTGCCAACTCCCAGCCCCGTAGCTCAAATTTTGCAAAAAATCGATAAAATCGATATCGATCGATGACGAAAAGTAGCCTATGACACCCGCCGGGGCCCGAAGTGTATGTGTGCCAAGTTTGGTCCCGATCGGTTCAGAAACGAAATTTTCTATTCGGAACATACGTACAGACAGACAGACAGACAGACAGACAGACATACATATAGACATACATACAGACATACAAACAGACATTCAGCTTTATTTATAAGATATAAGTAACTTTCAAAAATTTCGCGACCCGTTCTCGGGGGGGGGCGCCCCCCCCCCCCCTCGGTACGCCACTGAAGAGAGGTATTAGGATGAAACGGTCGTAAGTACTTTTGGTACATAAAATATCCAATTTTCGAATATTTGATGCTCACCAAATTTCTCGAAACAGTGATGCTAATCGAGCATTCGATTATTTGATGAATCTCAAATGATCATATTGATAATTATTGAACAGACTATCGAATGGTATTCGAAACTCCAAATTTTTGTATATATGACTTCCGCATAACATTCGAAAATGAAAATTCTCAAACAATCGACTTCTAAATTTTTCTCAAAAACTCAGTTCTTCAAAAGGCCGAGGTTTTCTAATCATTCGCATTGGATTGATGTTTTCAAATTGATAAGTATTCGATGCTGCTCAAAGTATACAGGATATGATCCTGATGGTACTATTTTCATATATTAGGTTGGCTAGAAAGTTCTTGCGTAATTCAAACAAAATTCAATAACTTTTCAATGACTAAACCTAAATTCACAATCTTGTTCTCCAAAAATATTAGAAGGCCTACGCTCCATGATGGATGTTTGAGCGCAAAATTTCATGAGCTAGCCCCCGAAAACGAAGCTCTCAAATATGGGACTTCAAAATTTGCAATTTTGAGATTGGTGCCAGAAAATCGCAGAGTGCCGCTAGCTAGCCGAAAAAAATCTGTAAAAATTACTTACACTGCAGAAGTCCATAAGTTACTTTGGAAGGCTTTGATCTTGCACGGTGAAGCAAAAACAAAAAATTCGTGAAATATTCAAGTTGGCGGAAAAAATCCACTCATTACCGCAGTTTTTCGGCAAAAACAATTTTTTACCCTCCAAAAAACGTCGCAAGGTTTTAAATGGGAGATATGTCTTATTTCTGGTTGCAAACTGTGTTTTTGTGGAAAAATTACATTGATAAGGGGATTTATCCTGTAAAATGACAAATTCCACAAATTTTTTGTTTTCGCATTTCCATGCGAGATTAAAGCCGCTAAAATAACGTATGGACTTCTGCAGTGTAAGTAATTTTTACAGATTTTTTTCGGCTAGCTAGCGGCACTCTGCGATTTTCTGGCACCAAACTCAAAATTGCAAATTTTGAAGTCCCATATTTGAGAGCTTCGTTCTCGGGGGCTAGCTCATGAAATTTTGCGCTTAAACATCCATCATGGAGCGCAGGCCTTCCAATATTTTTAGAGAACAAGATTGTGAATTTAGGTTTAGTTATTGAAAAGTTATTGAATTTTGTTTGAACTACGCAAGAACTTTCTAGCCAACCTAATATATAGTTTTATCAGTTTTTGGCAAGTTCTGACTTAGGCAGCCGACACTCTGTGTAGGGGGAGCGAACTGCTAGTTACGAATTTAACAGGTGTTCAAAACACCGACACTTCTATCGACACTATCATTTGCTTGCAAACTTTGACACGAGGAGGTGCTTATTAACTATCGAATTTTGTCCAAATGTAAGATAGATCGCTGAGGTTACGTACAGGGAGCGAGTGGAATGTTGATTATCAGTACTATAGTGATATCGATTTTACCAAGACATGGCAACGTTTGGAGTAGGAGAAGACGGGATGGATTTTGGTTTTACATGGAGTATGGGTTGCTTTATGAAGGGTTTAGACTTTTGCGCTTCTGGTTACGGAAACCATCACATTAAACTCAGGATAGTTCAACGAAAATGCGAATCAAAGACGTCTCACATTTGGCAGCGCGCACTGGTAGCAGCAATTAGAGGTGACAGTGGATAACGAGCCCTAACACAGTATAACTGAGAAAGAGAAAGGCTTAAGCATGATATCTAGTGTAACAGCATCGTAAGATCAGAATTTTGATTGTGAAATGATACAGCGAAAATTTTTTCCAAAAAAACTTACTCTAAAAAATCGGAACAATTTAAGCATTGCATTAACAGCTGCAAGACAGACTTCTCCTACTGGATCCTTGCATCTAAATTACAGTCGTTACGAATTTCAACACCACAACAATTACGAACCCATGCATGACCGAGATTGTATGATTTTGATCAAATTTCTTCTGCTTTTCCGCGTACTTCGCGGCTTTCTTCGTCAACTTCACATAGTAACTCTAAAATAGATGAAGCAATGATAGAGTGGATTTATGTTTAAAGTTCTGCAGATTTGACACACTTCTAGAGTACGCCCTATTTCAAACCAAAAATTGGATGAAATTATCTTGGCGCTGCTTTCTTAAATATTTGTAAACATTAGAATTATGCAACTAACCGCTTTCAGTCGCATACTGCTTGCTTCTCCTACCATGTATTTGAGCATATCAATGAAACTGGTGTCCCACGATGTTTCAGATTTTTTGACTTCTACTATTACACATTCCTTTAATCCTAATTTTACCTTTGATGGCGTTATTTGTCTGAGCGAAACTAGTTCTGGAATCTAGAATGAGCGATAAGTTTTTGGAATATTGTCACAAGTTGAAATGAAAACTTACTAAGAGAATAAAGTACCAAGGACGTAACATTTTTTTGGAAAAGGTTTTGCAATGCCAAGATTTATACACACAAATTTCAATGCAAACTCTAACACACATCAAACAAGTTTAAATATTGACTTAATTCAGCTTGCAGCTCGTGAATGCACGAACCAGGCGTGTACTTTGTTGTTTTCAATTCATCGCTTGATATGACGATCAGCAGTTCCCTTTGCCACTGAAGCTAGTGAGAGGAAATAAATTTGTAAACGAGAAACATCCAAATATTGCATTTCTTCAGCTATACCTGATATATTGCCTGAATCTTGCGTTCACTCTTTTACGGATAATAAGTAGGTTTGAACAAAGATTTACGCAATTTTGATAATGAAGCAAGTACAATGGCACTTCATAGAGCTAAGTATCACACAGTAGTGTTAGGCCTAAGGCATAACTCACGCGATTCCAGTCGCTGCGCGATGTGACACTGCAGCAACTCTTCACAATCATTCGTAAACGCACGTTGGCCAGATTTGTAATTTTTGCCCCCCCCCCCCCCCCCGAGAATGGGTCGCGAAATTTTTGAAACTCACCTATATAGGTTATAAAAATGTGCAAACGACTTGTTTAATTTTGTAAATAATCAAAATATCTTTTGAAATTTTTTAAAAATTCAAATTAGCTTTATAAAAAAATTTTTTTTGGGGGTTTTCTTTTTTCCTTTTTTTTCCAGATTTTAGGGGTGGGGACCCGCAAAAAATTTGAGAAGCACCCCAAAAAATTTTTCGGAGTGCGTGGCGTTAGCCACTCACCTTCATTTGAAGGATTTTTTTGCCGCGCCCTTCCCCCGTCCGAAATCCTGGGACCACCACTGATATATGTATGCGTCATCTGTCTAGTCAAATCACCGTCCCGTGTGCAAATGCACAATAATCAAAATTTTGGGATGAGGCAGGAAGAACCCGAGATATCTGCACACGAAGGCACAGAGGGCTAATTCGATGACGCCAACATATTCTCTTCGCATTTCCGATCTTTTTTGACTTACAGCTTGATTTGCAAACCATCTTTAGCTCCGTTTGCGGGTCAGAGTTCATTTAGTGCCGTTTTGTCGAGTTTGCCGATGTTTCCTGCTCTTCTTTCAGGGAAACGTGTGCTCGCGATAGAACTGATCACCATGATAGGTTCGCCAATTTTGTGAGACTAGTAAGCAAGAGACATGACCAGGGTCAAGCGTGGAGTGCGGCACGCCACACCTGGGAGGTCGTAATGAGGAGTCAAAAGGGGAGGGGGTCGGGGTAATCTGATAATAGTGACAACATGATATTTGTATCATATCCATAATTAGCATGTCAATAACCCCTGTAGACAAAGTTTGAGCGAATTCTGAAGGGTGAAGATACTAGGCTACCTAAGTGAAATGGTCATTTTCCAACATGGTTAACTTTGTTTCAAAGGTGAATTAGCTATCCGTTTTTGCACTAAAGGCAAAGCACTACTCCTTCTTTGTCCACCTCAGGAATCCCGCTTCAGAAGACCTGCAAACTCTGGAATTAGAAGCCAACCAAAATCTCAGTTTCCTCATTTTTCGCTTTTGATCGCTGTGCTTTCACCAAATATTACTTGGAGCTAAGAAGACAAATCAGGCTTCAAACAGTCCTATGGAATCTACAAGGTTTACTATCAATTCATATAAATACTGTCCGCTAAAAATGTTTTTTTGATATAGTTAATGGGGTGCGGCACACCCCCTTAAAAGCTGCTGCAGCCGCAGCTTTTAAGGGGGTGTGCCCATAAGAAAATTATGGCCCTTTCAATATATCCGTTCAGATCAAAATCAGCCGTCAAATTACGTGCGATTGTAAAGTGCAGTCACAGAAAATCGGGCGTACAGCTCTCAGAAATCTGAAAACTCTCTAGAAAAGATGGTGCCCTCCAGAATGTCACACTTTGGGGCCCAGAGGTTAAGAGGAGGAAGAAGGGGTCGTTTGAGGGCTTTCATGGGAGGGGGGGGGGGGTTTCGAAAGACTTGTGCCTGACCTATTTCTCAACTCTGGTAATGCTATCTTAGGTATATAGTTAAGGGGGGGGGTCTTATTAAGACAGCAATCGGGGGGGGGGGGGGGGTCGTAACCAGCGATCGTGTGCCACACCCCTTGCTTGACCCTGGACATGACATTGCCTTCTGATTATAAACATCGTTCGCTCCCGTCCACTCGTCCTTGCCTAACTTCCTAAATCAGAAATGAGGTGCAATCTCGGGCCCCTAGTTTTAAGTAAGATACATTGACAAAAATGCTAACTATAAGATTGGCAAGCTTACCTACCAGAGAAATTGCATTCTACTGTGCTATACATGATCTTAGTAAAAAAAAGTGGGGAGGATTGTCAAACGCGACGAAAACACACAGTAGTGACTTTGCCAACTTTTGATCCAACGGAATATTGCAGATCAGCTGGGTTATCGGCAAAAAATTTTTTTTGAACATAGAAGAAGAACATGTTGGCCTTATCAAACCCGACAGTGCTTTTCTCTCGAATGGTCCTACCGCCTCATCCGGAAATTCAATTTGTTGTGCATTTGCATACGGGATGGTGAGGTGACTAGAGAGATGACATCTACTGTAAATGATCTAAAGGAATGTGCAGTGGCGAGATTGAGAGCTGGGAATTTCGAACGTTGACCTCCGCCATAGCAGCCTCAAACGGTTCCTGTTAGGCTAAATTCACACGTATTCGAAGATAGAATCTCTCGATAGGATGAATGACGGATAAAGCATGTAAGGATAGTGTCTTAAGTACAGGTCTGAAGTTTACTATTCTCTGGCACGATACTTTTAAAGTGATATCGCAAAGAATGTAGTAAACATCATTTCACGCCAAGCTGCCCACCCTATTGCTATAAGCGCGCCATCTTACGTAAAATGTTTCAGACGGCAACTAATATCCGCAGTGGTCAGAATGAGCGTCAAGAGTGAATGCTGACCTCTGCAATAGCAGAATTGAATCGTTATGATGGACTTTTCTGTGCCCCTATTGGGCTATTATGCTTTCCTTTTTTTCTTGCAAAGTGCTCGTTTGCGTATGCAGAGTAAGTCTCGCCTCTCTCACGCAGCATGGCAATCTAGGCGTTAATAAGAGTCGGCCATGTAGAGTATCATGATTACTGGGTTGCAGCACAAGGTCGTAATAATGCAGTTTATCAGGTGGATCAGCAGATATAGGATAAACAGCAGCGGTTGAGAAAGGGAGATATCTGGGGATGAGCGTACCGCTCTGCAGCATAGGTCTTGAGGTCCTTTTCCCTAAACTCTCATATGTCTCTTTTGAATCGGTGGGCAAGCGTTATCAGATTGTTCTCAGCTATGCTGATTGAAAGGATCTGTCAACGTCTGTACATGCCAGCGTGGGATATCGTTCCCTCTTACACATTCAAGTTCGTAAACTGTTCCAAAACTCATGCCACCCCCGGCTTTCCGTAAGGGCAAATGACACAGCAGTGAGAGATACAAGTATATCATACCATCGATATCAACCCGCATTGGTCTTTTCCGCACCGCACTGCTCTAGTGCGCACGCCTTGCATCGCCCATGCAAGACGTGGCGGGCGTCCACTCTTGGCGCTTTGCCAGCAGTCAATAGCTGATTTCGCGGCCAGCCAGATCATTTTGTTGCTATTTCTTCATTATTTTCTCTTCTGTTTTCAGGTTTTCTGCTGTAATAGTGATGGGCCGGCCCTAATCCGATGGATGATATGCCGTTTTTCCAGTAACGCCTTGGAGGCTCAATATTCTATCATCTGCTATCATTTTGATGCTGTGTTATTGTTATTGTTTCCCTTCACTTTCGCTCTGAGGTTTGTCGTTATTAATAATTATGTATACTTTTGGTCCTTCTTGCAAAAACTGCAAAATCAAAACATTCCTTTTTGCAGAATGAATGTTAAACATTGTGACATATCCCGATTTTGGATCAATGAACCAATAATAATAAGTTACCAATCTGGCAAGAGTTGGTAAAACGGCATATCATCCATCGGGTTAGGGTCGGCCCATCACTTTTCCAGCGGAAAACCTGAAAATAGAAGAGAAAATAATGAAGAAATAACAACAAAGTGATCTGGCTGGCCGCGAAATCAGCTGATGATGATTGGCAAAGCGCCAAGAGTGGACGCCCGCCACGTCGTGCATGGGCATTGCAAAGCGTGCGCAGTAGATCAGTGCGACGCGGAAAAGACCAATGCGGGTTGATATCGATGGTATATTCTATCACGCACAAATTGCTTTCTGATGTTGTTACGTGGTATATCAACAAGGACGGCATCATGTTCCAGTTGCGCTTGTACCAAACAACGTCGTATTGCGTGTTACCCTGTCTGAAATAAATGGTAGGCTTGGGATTATGTTAGACTTGTTATAAGAGCCTGCAGATATTCTTGGAATATAAGTAAATTTAGCCAAAAAGTAGCCTTTTAAAGCTGCTATTGCGGAGCATTCGAGACTGTTGACGCTCACTCTTGGCAATGCAGATGTTAGTTACTTGAACATGTTACTTGAGATGGTGAGCATAAAGGCAACTCAATGGCGTACCCGGTGCGTAAAAGATATTCCACTTCTTTTGAGATACCATTCTTTACGTAACGTGCCAGAGGTCGACATCAGCTGGGCGTTCAGATACGGCAATAACCCTTCGTTTGATTTTTCTCTAGAAATCTTTCGTATTGGGATTGTTGATTCATTGAATATTCCACCTCGGAAAAAGTCCAATCGCCTAAAATACCTGCAGTACATAAGTGAACTTTTAGACAGCACAACTCCGTGGCGAGAGTGAGCGTAAAGTGTCTCAATGCTGGCCTCCGCCATAGCAGCTTCAAAAGGCTAGTTTCGGCTGAATCTTCGCGTATTCCAAGAACAATTGAAAGCCCCTATTCTTGCCATGATTGTCGTTCGTGACCAAAGCGATAAAAACTAGAATAATCTTTAAGATCAGTGCAGCTTGTACTGATTTTTATTCTGTGAAGAAGAATGAAAGATGAACACATTGAGTTTGATCAACTATAGGCATTTACCATATTTATACAATTTTTTACGCAATGACTACAGCAAATTAGTCTCAGATCCTCACCGAGAACTGAGTATATATCATTTTATGTATGAGTGAAGAGATGAACACATTAAGACTGCAGTGAACACTGGGCTGGCAGTATCGATACGGAAGTAAAGCTCAACACTACAAATGTATAGAAAAACGAATAAAAAGGCAAAACACTAGCGAAGAGGGCTTTGCAACTAGGAGCTATGAAGCACTCAAAATGGCAATGAGAAGCTGTCCTGCATCTACGTACACATGTCATTGGTGCGAATCATCAGCCTCGTTTGTACAAACCCCTTTTTCGTCCCAATTTATGCCATTCACTGAAACCGACTGCACCCGGATAGTAGTAGACTTCCATCACCCACTTCCGGTGGGAGTCTCGCGATATTATCTGCAAAGGTTATTATTAAAACTTGCACAGCCCACTCGCTTCTTTGGACTTCTATCTTTTAATTCAAATGCAGCTTCCAAACATCAATCCCCACTGCAAAGTGCTAGCCGCACTTGTTCAATTTGGCCTTAGTATCCAGAATTTTGTGCGGTACAAGCTAAATAGAAGTGAATAGGACTATTTTGGGTATGTTCACCAAGTGGATGTTATTCTGTAAGTACAGCAAGCTCTGAAATTGATAGATTTGCGGTCCAGGGAATCAACCGAATGGAAATACGAGTTGACTTCAAAACCACTATCGAACAGACAAAAGTAAAGACATAAAGAATCAAAAATGATGCCGTATAATGAGACTAACCTACTGCGCTAGGTTAACAGCAAAGTCTTATCAAGAACGCGTTAGCATCAGTGGCGTCAGAGGCCCCCACCCCGAGAATGGGTCGCGAAATTTTGAAAGTTACTTATATGAGTTATAAAAATGTGCAAGCGACTTGTTTATTTTTGCGACTAAATGATATAATTTTTAAAATTTAAGAAAAACAGTTTAGCCACATAAAACAGCGTCCCCTTCTTCTAATTTCGAAGTTATGGGCCCGCAAAAATTTTAGGAAGCACACCAAAAAATTTTTTGAGCTTCACTGGAACAATCTTTTTTGTCGCCCGCCCCCCTAAACGGAAATCCTGAGTACGCCAGTGGCGGTCACATATGTGCCTAATTCCACATATCTGTGCATGAAGATTTTTACACTGACCTAGATAATCACTGAAGAGCTCAAAATTAGTAGAGCTGTACGCGCAAGAATCTTTTCAAAGAAAATAAACATTTGCAAATGTAAATATTCTTCTAGGTGCCTTATAAAATCAAAGAAGACGGTACGAGATGAAAAAGCAGGACCTTTTTTGCATGAGTGAAATGGTGCAGACACTTCTTGTAATCATGACTCAAACAAATTCGAAGCTTTCGAAAGGTTTCCAGAAACTCGCTGCCCGCCTCCCCCCAGCTCCTATTCCTTCCTGTTTTCAAAAAAAAAAATTGCGAGCACTGTTGAACCTTAATCACACACTAGATGCCAAGAGTTTCCAATATTTCTATGTGACTATTCGTATAACAATATTCAACAAAATTTCAATACAGTTTCAATCACATGAACCGTTTATGGAGTTCAGTACCTTTTTATGTATTTGATGCTTTGATCGATAAACTTTGTTTTCTAGGGGCAGCTTAGATTATAACTTTCACTATATATGGTACGTTATGTTAGCCGGCCGACCCTTTTGTGTTTTTTGCGCCGTAGAAAAATGTTGCCAAAGTTTTCATTATTGAAAATCAACAATTATTCGATCAATGCCCATTAATCACTTTGACAGGTTTGTTTCCAATTCCTTGATAGCTCTGTCATTTTGAAAGGCGCTTATCAAATCAGAGCTGACCTTGCGTCTCAATGCTTTTTGATACTCTTAACTTATCACACCAGTTTTTCGACAAGTTGTAAAAGTTTCAATTAGCAAATTTGTTAACTCTATTTGGAGTAACAACGACAAAATATCAATCGGCAGCAAGCAAGATAAGATCATTGATCTCACATGTTATCTCTGCAACGATCAGCTGATTTGACAGAAACAATTCGAAATCTTTCACGTAACAGAAAATTAGCAAACGACAGAATATTGTTTACCTTTCTTGGCGATTTCGCGTATCGATCTCCATTGAACTCAACGAACAGAGTCCAGTAGCCTTTCCGCCGAACCTTAAGTGTGTAAAGTGGATTGATTTAAACTAATTACAACGGTGCACATACTCAGCCATTCGAAACATTCCGCATTCAAGATCTCTTTCAAAATATTCATATAACTAAGTATTTCAATTTCTTGGAAGTACAATTTCTATTAAGTATTCAATCAACCAATGAATACACCGTTCACATCTCAACCCAACTGAATCTTTTTTGTGAGATCATTGACTCATTCTCTCTGTTCCTTTTGTTAAAGGATCATATTTATTTATTTGTTTGTTTGTTTATTTATTTATTTATTTATTTATTTATTTATTTATTTATTCATTCATTCATTCATTCATTCATTCATTCATTCATTCATTCATTCATTCATTCATTCATTCATTCATTCATTCATTCATTCACTCATCATTCATTCATTCGTTCATCCAAATTCATTCATTCATCCAGTTCATTCACCCATTCATTCATCCAATTGATTCATTGGTTCCTTGATTGATTGACTGATTTATTGATGGGTTGATTGATTCATTCATTAAACTGTACATCATTCATTCATCCATTCATTCACTCATTCTTTCACTCATTAACTTATTTGTTTGCTCACTGATTATTCATTCATTCGCTCTTCATTCATTCGCTCTCATTCATTTATTCACTCAATCAATCGATCAATCAATCAATCAATTAATCAGTTAATCCATCAATCGTTCATTCATTCATTCATTCATTCATTCATCCACACATTTTTCATCATTCATTCTTCATTAACTACTGTATGTACCTGCATTCATTGACCTCTATTCATGTCTAAACATTACTGTCATACATTTACAGTCGCTGTACGGATTGATCTCACATTTGTTTATTTGCTTATTTATTTATTTAATCATTTATTTATCAACAATTCTCACCTCAAAAGTGTGCTCGAACGTGTTTCCAGCAGAAACATTGAAATCAGCCGTATTGTCAACGCCCACCAGTCGAAAGAACTTGGCGTCAGTCACGTTGTGATTCCTAAAAAAAAGTGTTTCTTCTTCTTGTTTATGAATTTTTCGTAAAAATTCACACACTCACCGTATAAAAAGTGTCAAATCGTATCGTCTGCCCTTATAAGGATGCCACTTCTTGTTGAGTGCAAACTCAGAGCACACCAGCATGAGAAAGCACTGGAGAAGAGCCCTTTTTAGCATCAGACAATCAGTGCATATGCGAGCTCTGCAAAAACGAATTTCAGTATAAGAAAGCATCTATAGTTTTTTGAAACGTAAATAATTTTATCCACTTGTAAGATATGACAATATCTATATATAATCGCGAGGAGAAATTCGTGAAAACTTTGAAAAATGGGAAATGGGGATTAAATCACTCTTTACAACATCTTCGAGTTGTTTTAGTTTCCGTTACCTTCTTTATCTTGACAAATAGAATAAATACAAAAAGCAACAAAACGATAGACTGAAGATTCGATAGTATTGAATATGGAGAGATTATAAACAACAGAAATGTGTGTAATCAAATCCTCTAGTTTTCTAAATGAAGAAGCCGTGCACTAAGTAATATATATATTTAGAAAACGATTCTTGTAAAAGCATTGTGAAAGCTCAAACAAAATGCAGGAATAAATTTTGTCCTGGGAAGTTGCATCAATGCCAGCTGAGAATATATATGACACGAAAACATAAAACATAGGCAAATGTTCGATAACGGAGAATAATCTGCATTTGCCAGAAGCAAAAACGATGAAAAGTGACAGACAAAAGAGTAAGAGATACACAGGGAAAGCCTTCAGAGTTTGAAAATCAACTTTTTTCTTTAATGATCTCTTCTTTTTCTTTTACACTTTGAATGAGTGTCATTTTCACACAGATTTGTTCATTGTGTAGTTCGCAAGTTGGAAAACACCAAAACGAATGTAAAGATAATTCTAATTGCTCTATCTCCGTCCAAATGCGTTAAAGAACATTTTGTGATCTTAACAAGTCACATAAAATTATTATCGTCAAGCAATCAGGGAGCTCTCGCTCCACATAGTTCCATATAGCTTAGGCCTCGATCATTCGATGCCAGAATAAAGGGAATAAAGTAATGAATAAAATTGGAATGAGAACGTTTCTGAAGTGTATTCAAAACTATAAGGAAAGGTATTTAGAATATCAAGAAGATTAAGAAGATTTTCTTAATGTCAGCGGCCAAAAAAATCAAGAAAGTCCAAACAGTGCATTTTTTGCCACACCAAAAAGAGCGAAGTAAATGATTGATTATTTTTCGAATAATTTTTGTGTAGTAATCTAGTGAAATATAAGGTTAGCAGTAGTGCTGCTCAGCCGGAGAATGACTACTAGCGCAGTATTTTGTGCAGCTCTATTGAGTTATGATTTTTGAAAAAATAGGGGTTTATAGAAAGGAACTGCGATTTTTGCCCAGAAAATTGTTTTGTTACTGCGAGACTATGGAATGCATGTAATAGCGAGAGAGTTTTATATTGTGATGCATTTTCTCATAGCAATGGCCTTTTGCAAAAGAGTCATGACGAATCAAAGTTGAACAGGGTACGGGTAGAACTAACTCGAAAAGGGTAGAACTTTTGGAACAACCCAATATAATATGAGAATACTTATGATGACTTATGATGATATAACGTCGAGAATGTAATGGAATACTAGAAGATAACTTTAAAGGAACTTCTGCGTGTGATCCATATTAAAAAAAGGAATCACACGCTATCGTAGAAATTTTGATGTACGAACACTCCTTCACACTACTCAGTCTGGGTAGAAGCGTTGTTTTGCTGTGATGTTCGGTTGCTCTTCAAAGTTCGTCAAAACAATTCCATTCAAATAGATTCCCACACTAAGCACCATAAGCAAGATTGACGGGAAGGGTTGAGTCGAGAAAAAATGACTTTTTCGTAGGACAACACACAAAAAATACAGGAAATGGGGGCACACAATCGACAAAACAATTATAGTTTGTTTGTATGGAGCATAAAAACCAAGTCAGACGCTTCTTTTTCGTGGTATTTTCTCGGTTCTGGAAGTTTTCTTGAAAACTAGTGAAGTGACAATGTTATCGTTTACCTGAATCAATAAGACGATGATTAGACGACGATGTTATAAACTAGAACAAAATATGTGTGGTCATGTGCAGCTGTGATGTTTTACCAAAACAACGTAATTTGCACTTTCACAGGGAGTAGACGAACTTAAAATGTGTGAAAAAGAAATAGAGCCGGCGTGAAACGAATGGATGCTTGGCGCTTACGAGGTGCCAAGAATATGTATTGCAGATACGAAAAATGAGCGATGGATTGGGGAAAAAGTTTGCGGAGAGAGTATTCCTTTCCTCGAGTGGAAGTTTCTCACTTGTTCAGGAAGAACAATTCGAAGACAAACAGGACAGAAGAAGTGAAAGCTATCGTTGACGGGGGCAAATCATATATTGTTACTATTGTTTTTACCACCTTGCTTCTAATCCAGCTATTCATAACAGAACGATATTTAATCCCTAAAGGATTTGTTATCCCATAAATAAGTCCCACGATGAGTACATCGCCCCAGACAGTGCTTGCATACTTTTTTCCCTGAGGCCGTCAACAATAGTCTAATTATAGTATAAGCACAGTCTCGATATCATATCTTGATCTTACTCTTCTAAAATCCTCATGCTGTTTGAAATGCGCACTGCTTCTATTATTATAACTGCTTACTTCTTCAGCCAACATTCACTCTTTTTCCAGGCGTTGTGAAAATGATGAAAAATGTAAGGCAGCAAAATTAGTGAGGCTTAAAAATAATGGAAATGCAATAGTTACACTAATATTTTCGCGGGGAGGAAAAATAATAACAACAATTTTTTTCAAATAAAGGCCGAAATGAAAGTAAGGCATTAACTACCTTAGAAAATTTATGGTGTGCTTCAAGATTTTTTGCATGCTTCTAAGCCAAAAAATCTAGAAGAAAGGGGCGGGCAGAATCGTATCCATGCCACGCTTCACAAAATTCTTCTACAGAACTACTTTGATCTTTATAGAATTCACGTACAAAACTTAACTCATCCATTCTCAAAAATCTCTATGCATACTCTCGCCTTTCCTGAAACCGCCACAGCAGAGTTGGTGCACAGGCGATTTGACAGTTGTATGTACCTTACACCAAGGTATCTTTCCAATCCTAAGAGTAAAGTTTTGGGCTGCTACGCCTTTAAAACTCCTTACACTTTGAAGTTAACCCACTGGCTGACGTTTCGGTGACGGATGATCTCGAACGCAATGGAGGCGACATCCTTAGAGGCAGCATACACCCAAGATTTCGTCTTTCATTTTTATTGTTATCGGACCTTCCCATGGCGCTGATTTCGGATATGAGGTTCAAATCACAAGAAAGTGCTAAAATTGCCCCTTTCTGAAGCCCTATCTTGGCAGACGTGGACGAGTGCCCCTGCGTTAGTCACGTCGTATGCAACAGGAAACCCCGTCATGTGCAACAGTGCTACATCACAAACTGTGCGTCACGTTGCTTATCATGTCAGAACACGTCTCGGGGCAATCCGTGGGTGGGTGGAGCGCAAAAAAGGGGCGGAGCGCAAAAAGGATCCGGTCCGTTATCTCCTTTTGTAGGCAACATCAGGGGACCGGGACCAACGCGGTTGATCTACTTCTAGGGCCTGCTGGTAGAAAGAGTAGCAATCTGAGGCTAGATTTTGGGTGGACGTTGCCTTTAACTATTGCAAGATATATAAGCCCAATTGTAATTGGCAAGAACTGAGAATATTCTTCCTGTTTGGAGAATTCTTGATCTACATATGCAGTCCCATTACTGGTATAAAGAAAAAATAATATTATCACGGTTTCTTGCATGAAAAATGTAAACCACAGAGAAATAAGATGAAAAGAATTTTTTGGAATGGCATTCTGGCAAGCGTGACTTTTGAATGAATTTTGAATTTTGGTAGAATAGACATTGCAAACTACAAAACATAAATCGCATATAATCCGAACGGCACAGACATGAGAAGACAAGCTTCTTACATAATCGTAGGCAAATGCCTTTACATTCACAAGGAACATACTCGTCACACACTATAGAGATAAAAACATCGCTAATCCTCTTTACGGCAGATGATCGGTTAACCCAGTTCTGAGAATTCACTTGTGTATAGTTATGAATAACACACCAAGAAATGTCAAGACAGGGATCCTCTCAAAACACAGCAATGAGAATTCTATCATTTCGGCTAAAACAACAGATTATATGTGTCCGCTTTTTATACTCGAATGCTGACGTGATCAGAATTGTTAATAAAGATATTTTTGCGCAAAAAAATCGTGATGTGCCATAAATCATTCATAATCTTTGGGCAAAGAAAAGAAAACAGGAGAAGTTAGGGGCGCTGGTCTAATTCTCAAACTTGGTTTGCGGTGCGTCAGAAACTTGTTTGAGGCGTGAATCTGAGAAAACACACTGGATTCAGAAGTGGTCAGTTCATGACAAATTTACCGAATCCAACCATAATACACTCGGAATTATTTGTGCTCTCCAGAATGCAGGCCTAAAATTTTGGAAGAAATTATTCTCGCAAGTGAACGAACCATTCGCACAATTTTTGTAACGCAGGTAGATCACTTTTAAAAAATTTGTGACCATTGTTTCGCGTCTATCGCTATACAAAGCAACCACTCCATACTTTCGAGAAAATTTTACGAAAATAAGAATACTGGGGTGAAAATACCATATTCTGCGCCAAAATGACATTTCAAGCAAAATAATAGTTGCAAGAACTTTGGTTTTATAAACAGTCTACAGCTATGTAACATTAGGTTGATTCAAAAGTTCTGTCCCTTTCATTTTGAAAATTCGAAAAGCTCCCTATGTGAACGTATTGACTTGCAAAAAAAAAATTCTGATAGAAAAATTCATTTACTTTCTAATCGTTACTTCAAGGGTTTTTGACGGTAAGGGACTCCAGAGATAAAAATTCAAATTGGAGACCCACCCAAACTTCCGATTTTCGAAAATAAATCGTTAAGAGCTGAAACTCTGCAGAAAAATCTGCATGTTTCCCATAATTTTTGTGAGTTGCTCTTTCTAATGTGCCTAGATTGCGCTGATCGAGCTTTTCTAAAAAAAGTTAGTTTTTCGTGAAAAACATTTTTCACGAAAATCACAAACACAGTCTAGGCACCACTATAAGGAGCAGTCCACAAAAAAGTTCTCTAA